CGTAAAATTAATTTAGCAAGTTTTCGAAACCGTGACAAACTGTATCCCGTGATATTTTCATGCTAAGCTTACACAGGCTGACTCATCAAAGGGCATGAAGAGAAAAACTCGAAAACAAGTTGACCACATTTTTCATGGTCTAGACTCTTACACGCCAAAGAATTGACATCATAAGGTTCAAAATTTTGCAGTGAGACTGCTCGATTGCAGCCAGTGGTTCTACTTGAATTTTTGAAATTTTGTAACGTAATTTCGAGGGTTTAATAAGAGTGTAGACAACGGGAAATGTCGACGATATGTAAAAGACGACATAAAAATTGCAACGTTTTCAGCGGAGTATCAACCAAGAAAAAACATTTACGGAACCTCGTGATATTTGAGCGTGTTTATTGCGTCCCGTGAAAACTAATAAGGAAAATTGCACAAAGAAACATGGAGTTAGCATGTGATGAAAGGAACTAAAGTAAAAGAAAGTATTAATCGAGCGAAAAGGGAGGTCCCATCAGGGGGTGAAAATGCCAACTGATGAACTGCAATAGACCTACAATCGTGGACAAAAGTCCTTGGGACACTTAAGTGATGTAATGAATTATCTTTGTTTTAAGCTTTTTAATTTTTTTGCTGACTGTTTTCATACAGCTTTTTTAACTGAAGATAAAAAAAATTACTCCAGACTTGAATTTACTGTTAATTTAGGGCAGTGTGTAAACCTGTTTTTCGAAAACATGATTCACCCATCGAATTTCAACAAATCCGGGCGGTGCCTTGCAGAAAGTCTTCAGTTTCTAGCACCTTCCAAGACTTACATTGTCGTGAGCCATCATAACCACTCTTTATCAGTTAATGCTACTATCATGATACCAAAAAACTGCTAGGATCACTGGTTGTGACACAACAGGTTGCCATAGTAACCGCATGACCTGCTAAATTTGGCTTTAAGAGCTAATAATTCAAAAATGGCCTGACTAGTGAAACCCAGTTTTTATGATTGAATTGTGATAAGCATGCGCGCTAAAATACACCTTTTTTTCAGTACATGGAATTCAGAGCCACCTTAAATTTCGGAAATGTCACGTGGTTATGGTCGAAAGGACGAATAATGTTAAGAAAGCCATGATTCACGTCAAACAATCTCGCCCATGTACTCTGGCATGTGAACGTAAAATGTAGTCAATTAACATAACATGAAATTAACATGTAGTGAAAATGTGTAAACAATTAACCGGAAGGCCACAAAACTTATCAGAGTAAGGTTATTAAACTGATTATTGTTGACCTATTACGGGCGAATCATGATTTTCATTTAAAGAGGTCCACACACTCTACTGAAATAAGGAAACCAGAAACTGTAAGGGACCGCATACGATAAACGCTGCTGACGTAGGATCTAAAAGAGATCTGATCAGCCAAACAAATGTATAAAGACAAACAATAGACTGCACTAAAAATAGACTGAAATAGGCTACGCTGTAATCAAGTCGTTGAAGAGAACTTAGCTTATAACAAATTCAATATAGAAAACCAGCCATTGGTTTTTACCTCAGGATAAGTCATTTCTTGGTTGAGGTCCACGGCTAGGAGGTCCCCATATAAATCAACATCCAAAGAATCTAAATAGCATCAGGAAAAATTGTAGTATACACGAACACGTTGGAATCATTTCCAATCAATGCTTCATTCTGAAATCAGTCAAAATCAATTAATTTTATAACACGGAATAAAGCTCACCTTCATCCTTCAGAAGGAAAGACGAATTTCTGTTGCAATCTGCCGCCTCTGTTTTATCCATGTGTTCTTCGTAACTCGTCAGGCGTTCATTCAGTCAACCGAGTAAAACTGGGTTGAGTAGCGCGCCTATCGGGTATCTGTATAAGCAAGCTCGTCGTAAACAGTTGGGTCACTGTTTTTTCCCAGGTCTTTCCATCCCTAGCCCTTGTAGACCTTCCAATTGATCTACAATTAAGATCTGAAAGGGATCAAACATGCAGTTTTTCCCTTGTCAACTGGTTTGGCTCTTGTATAAAGTTGCCAGGTATTGTGGCACAGAATCCTGCAAAGAGCGTCAGAGTAGGACGGCAGGCTAGTAAAAGGAATATTTATTCATACGACAACTGGAGACGGGTTAGATGAACCACGCGATCGAAGATTACCATTTAGTGCTCCGTCTTGCACACCAGGAGCGTATTTTTAATGTACTTTGCAGCGTTGTATATTGTCCCAGCAAACCGGCTGGCAGCAAAAGATGGCATACAACTCCCTTGAAACAAATGAGAACATAATTGATGAATGTAGCGATACTTCCGGTGAGTTGACAGCACTGAAATTCGTCTGATTTGAACATCTCGTGTTCGGTTCAGTGTAGCCAAAAGACCAGCCTGTAGAAATTTGCTTGCTAACTTTGACGGAAACGGAGGAAGCGTAAATGTGCGTTCTACTCTTCGTTGTATTAAAAGATATAACTACACCTATTTCGCTAATGCCAGGAGTTGCTAATCAACTGAGTGAGATGGGAAATTGTACATTAGCCTACGTGTAGCCGTACCCACCCCCTCGGAGGGTGGGTACGGCTACACGTAGGCTAATTGTACATGTGGTGGTTAGTACATGTACTTTCG